AAATGGACGAAATAATTTTAAAATAAAATAGTTAGGAATGAAAATGTTATTTGCATATTTCCTTACCACACATACTCATTCTGGAAGATAAGAATATGCTTTAAACTCGAAAGTTTAAGGTTTTACCTATCATAGCGTTTCTAACACTTAGGTGAGTATTACTTTTTAGGTCAAAAGTTTGTTACGGATCAATGAATATTTTTTTTTTATTGGATCGTCGAGTTTTTATTTTTTTTATTTTCTATTATCTTATGTCGATGCATGAATCTAACCGATAGGACTCGAGGTGGTGAGCCAACATCCCAAATCTTAATGTAGGTTCGATTGTGTCCTGCACAAAGATGACCTAGTATCAATAGTGTTGTTCCTAATATCCTTTTATGCATACTCAATGACGTTCTTGAGTTGAATTTAGGATATGTTGTGTATCTTTTGTGGAAGTTTGCTTTCTAATGTGAATCTTTCTGTTCTTGGTAGTCAACACGCTCCTTGACTCAACTTCTAAACCTTAAGGAGCGTGTTTTATCTCTTTAAGTAGTTTGGGCCCTTCGAGGCTCTCCGTTTGCTTTGGGAGCTACGCTTGTGTACATGCACTTGAATGAGTGGAACAAAATTTATATGCCCCTATTGTTTGGTATTAAATGAAAATTAAGATTTAAAAAAACCCAAAATATGATTTTTTTTTTTTTTTTTTTTTAAGGGTAATTTTTCCTATTTTATTTTATACTTAGTTCAAACCGTTATCTTCCCGCCTAATTCAAGCACAATCTCTCTCTGAATGTGAAATTAATGGAGCTTAATCTGCTAATTGCCCTAATCTTCCTCCTCATTTCCATCATTGGTCTTCAATCAACAGCTCTGCTAAACCCTAAAGATTACAATCATTTGGCGCCGAGCTCTAATGGCTTCACAGTCCCTCCAAATTCATCTTTTCCGATTTCCCCCGCCGCTCCGCCTCCGTCGAATTCTCTAGTCCCCGCCGTTTTCATCATCGGCAACTCTACATGCGAGTGCGGCACCAAAAATTTACTTGGTACCTTTGCTCGCGCCCATCACCTTCCCTATTGTCGAGATTTCGACTGGAAGGTTTTGTAATGGAAGAATACCCGTCGATTTTCCTGGTAATGTTAGTTTAGATTTTTGATATTTTGTTTGTTTATGATTTGATGTTTAGTCATTTATTTTAGGTTTGATCTCTGTTTTTTGTTCACTCCGTCTCGTGATTTCTGAATTTCCGATTTGATCTTTTATTTCTCTTTCGTTTTAAATTTCTGGATGGTCATTTCGCCCTGCGTCTTGGACTACCGTTTGTTCCGAGTTATCTTTGGCATGCCGGAACGGTGGAAGATATGATTTAAGGAGTGAATTATGCATCAGCTAGTGCTAGAGTTATCTTCACTAGTGGATCGGAATTGGTACTTCTTTTTCTTCAATTTCAACAAGTTGTATCAATTGATTAAAATCATCGAGAAAAGTTCTAAGCAAATGGATCAGTTTCAAATCAAATGACCTAGGCTTCGATAACTGGATTGAATTGTTCAATTATTTCCATTTCTTTCAGCATTTTAATGTTCATTTATAATCTTACGTTGATTTAGATGGTAGATATCATCGCAGTTATATGACTTTTAACATTATCCGCCAAGGAGATGGAATTATAAGTCGGTATTATGGTTTATATTTCTCATACTCTCTTGCCTTTTTGAAATGTGATTTTTCACAGGGCCAACACATTTTCTTCACTCAGCAAATTCAGCAATTTATGAACACTTTTCAGCAGAAGGCTGCTGCCTATCACATTTCCCGCTCAGTCTTTTACATATCTATTGGAATCAACGATTACATTCATTACTATCTGTTTATCATATCTAGCGTGCAAAATGTTTACCCTTGATAGAGTTAATCAATTTCTGGCAACCACAATCAGACAGGAAATCAAGGTGTGATTTGATTACATATTTCTTATTGTATCAGTTCGTTAATCTAAGCTGGAATAAAAGACAAGTACATATAGCCATTAGCCATGATTCCATCTCAAACCTTCAGGATATTGTTTTTATTCACATTATAATTTTTCAAAAATTGTGCTCTTGAATCATTTTAGATATTAGCCATTAACCCTATATTGCATCTTGGGTGCTGCTCCTCCCCTGCTTAAGTTAGATTTCTTTCTATAGTATCTTCTGTTACCAGTCTTGATGTATCAATTGTTCATAAACTTCCTAAAAGATTCTGTATTCGTGGTCCAGAACTTGTATAACATGAATGATAGAGAATTATTGTAATGGGATTGGCACCTGTTGGCTGTGCTCCTTACGACCTATGGCTATACGGTAGTGAAAATGGAGAGTGTATTGAAGAGATAAATGACATGGTTGTGGAGTTTAACTTTGCCATGAGATGCATGGTTGAGGAGCTCGGCATGGAAGTGCCTGATTCAAGTATTATCTTCTGTGATTTGCTTCAAGGTTCAATGAATATTCTGAAGAACCATGGAACTTTACGGTGAATGACAATCTAACTTCCTTTCATTCCCTCTGCGATGAATTGAATTCGCGTCTCATTGTGTCATTTTGTTTTCATCTAGGTTTCAATGTAACTACTGATGCTTGTTGTGGGTTTGGTCGCTACAATGGTTGGATCATATGCATCTCACAGCTTATGGCTTGCAAAAATGCTTCTAATCATATTTGGTGGGATCAATTCCATCCAACTGATGCAGTGAATGCCATTCTTGCAGATAATGTGTGGAATGACCTCCATACAACAATGTGCTATCCTAAGAATTTGAAGGAGGTGATAACTCTCAAGGGCCAAATGATACTCTGAACAGACTTGTCCATTCACAAAGCTGCACATACAATTCAACATAATACCCGGTACCATCCAACCCTTTCACAATTCATATTGTCTTTGTCTATTTGTGAATAGAAAGCAGTGATAGATAAATGGACTAGTAGAATTTCAAATGCTATGCTTGCTTTATAAAAGTATGGTGGTGCTCATTTTGTGATTGATGGGGATTGAAATAAAATAATTGCTTTTATTTTGCTCCAGTGGTCCAACATCTACTATATAAATCCTCTGCAGTGTTTGACCTTGGGAGGAACTAGTGTAATCCATTAATCGAGATGAATTAACCAAACTGAGCAAAAGGGTTGACAGGACAGAAAAATATTGTAGGTTGGTCCTATTATTTTGTTCAATTATCAACCAAATGCTGCATGTTTCTAGCATGTGGAGGTTATAGATTCAGAAGGTAAAAAGAAAAGTTTATAAATAAGATTCTTCACGTGTCTTGATATTTTGGATCACAGAATAAAGTTAGATAATGTGGGTATTTTTTTTAAATGAAGGTATTTTGGTTTTTAGATAATGTGGATCCGATTATAGTTTAAATACGATATTAATTACCATCTTAAAAATTAGGTTCAAATCTTATTCATTTTTGCTAAACTAAAAAAATAGAGTATTTTTATAAATTCCTAACCGTGTTTTTTAATTTGGATTTATACACATCTGCAATGTTGAGCTCACCAAAGAAAAGAAGGTTTGTAGAAGGTATGGCTTGACCCTGAAGACAATATGCAGTACATTATTTGAAAATCGTGCCATTTAATAAGTTTGATCTACATGGTCAAGTGACACCATTATAAATCAACTTGATTGTAGATTCAGTACATTATGTTGTAGGTTGACAACTTGAAACACATTACCACAGTTTCAGGTTTATAGATTTTTTTTTTTTGTTTTTCCTACCACAGTTGGCAAAAGTGGTTCTATTAGGCGTTATTTTGTGATCAATTGCCAATTGAAGTACTTTTCTATAAACTCCTTGGCCTGAGGGTGGATATCTATCTTATATCTTTTTTGTATCGGCTTACCAGCCTTGGGCTCTAAATGAAATTGATTTCTTATCTAAGAAAAATATTATCTGCAGAGACTATCACAAGTTGTATTTGGTTGGCTTGATGATGAATCATACATGTTTGAGCGGCAACCACAATTACTTCACCGTCTTCAGGTTTGCTAATATTGAACTCATCTTTCCCTTTTAGATTGCTTTTTTTTCTTTCTTTCTTTCTTTCTTTCTTTCTTTATCCTCTGGAACTTTTAACAAGAATGCGCTCATCCCTTTGTAGGTTTTACTTGGAGGCAGGGCCGCAGAAGAGGTCATCTATGGACGAGGCACATCAAATGCATCGTTTAGCTATCTTGCCAATGCTTCATGGTTCGCTCGTGAAATTTTAAGAATGTTAGGTAAGTCCTCGATTTCAAATTGCTTGCTTTTTTTACTTGCACTGACTACCCTTGGTGTCATTAGCTAAAATGGATGGCTGCTTCTATTCCATAGTTGTAATTTGGAGAATCCCATGGTGATACATTGGGGAACCAATCACCACCATGGAGGAAGAACGAGAACGAGAACATGATTTCGAGTACGTTGCCATTTCTCAGTCGACAAGTGAAGCTTGAGAAGGATGCAAAATCTGTATGTTCTTTGTTATGACCTCTCATTGTCATGCCTCTGTTCTTGCAGTGGCTGCTCGCTTTTTGCCGTTTTGCATCACTTGAATTGAGATGGGAAAGATTGTCAAATTATGCTGTCTCTAAAGAGCTTGAAGCTTGCAAGAGAGTTCTCTCTACAAAAATCATCTTTTTAAGCTCATGGGTAAACATTTTCAATTCTATTTTATTTGCATCTTTATATTTTTAATTATTCTATTTTTCCTACATGCTTACTGGTTTGTCATTAAAATATTGCATTAATAAAATAAAAAAAAAAAGATTTTAGTATAGAATAAAATTAAAATAATTTTGTTTATATAAAGTTGATGACTAAAATAGAATATTTTAAATTTGAAGATAGGATTATTTAATAATTACCTTTTTGTTATAAAAATTCATCCAATCCAAACGTATCTCACTTTTGATTTTTGTAATAGCATTCAAATAAATCAACATACTTTTTCATAACAAATAAAACAAAACTAGAATTAAGACCATACAGTATCTTAATTATGTCATTAATTAATGAAATTAAGCATACTGTTTTACTAGCAAGGAGCCGAAATTACGAAAATAACCCCACGATTAAATGACAGACAGAGAAGTTTCACACGTTGGATAATTTTCCCTTTTTTCTCGTCTGTTACGATACCGTTCACGGGTCTGGTCACTAACCCAAAACCTCCCCTCTCCGATTCAACTGAAATTCCGATTCCGTCACCGGAGTTCATTTCCACGACGTCATCTCCGGCGTCAGCCGACGCATTTCATGTTCCAAACTCCATAGTTGATTGTTTATTCTACGGTTTGGCTTCTTCTCTTGTCGACGGCGTGTTTACTGACCTCCCGCTGAAAACTGGACGCCATAGATTTTCTAGGGTTTCATGTTCTGTGAGGTTCAAAATCATACTCATACAGAGACTTTCATGTCTTCCGAATGGAGATTGCCGCTGCTGCCACCATTGCCTTGTGGTCCCAACCCTTTCCGATAGCTGCGATTGTTACTTTTCTTTGCTTTCTTCTCGCTCTTTTCGCCGCCGTTCGATTGGTTTCTGTTCCTTTTATTAGGAGGACGAAAGCGCTTCAATCGGAGGGCCTGGGTACGAGGAATTGTAATTGTACCTGTTCGCTTAACGGTGGTGTGGTTATTGGGGGTTTGGACCCCAGGGCTGAGGTAACTTCTTCGACCTGTACGACTATGCCTTATTTGAACGGTCGTGTAGTGGAAGTGTTGGAGAAGACGCCGATGGTTGTGACGGAGCGGCAGACAGGCGCCTCGATGATGGAACAGTTGGTGCCGGAGATTACTACGCACGCTCTTAGTTACTTGGATTACCCCAGCCTGTGCCGTTTGTCCATGACGAATTCGTTGATGCGCAAGGCCGCGAATGATGATAATGCCTGGAAAGCGCTTTATCATAAGGTATAGGTTAGGTTTATTCTTCTTTTGTATGGTTTTCGTCTGAACTGCTGGAGTTGCGGTAATTTTTTTTTTCCTTCTGGAACCGAGGTAGAAACACGACGGGATTTCAGAATTGTGTACTTGGCAATTTGTTAAGAACTCTTGTTACCATCGTCTCGTCTACATTCATTCAATTACTTCAGCGTCTTCTAGTAATTCTGGGGGGAAACGAATTGGCTGTATTTTTATCATCGTTCCAGTTTATGGCTTGTGATCACAGTTCTTGGATTGACAGGAGCTACCTCTGTTCTTTGTTTGTGTACTGTTCTGGATGCTTAAATCTATTTCTCTGGGGCTAAAAGAACTTTTTCCATTAAATCTTCTAGGACTTCTCACTGGAACAGGATACTGTGACTCCAATTAACGGGTGGAAGGCGTACTATGCTGCAACAAGAACAATTATGAACATCAATGCCCAATTCTGTAGCATCATCAGAGAGAGGTCCCTTCAAGCGATGAGTCATTTTTGGTTAAATGCAGATTATGTGAAGTGTATTCATGCCTCAGGAGAATTCTTTTCCGGGTACTTTCCTCATTGTCTCTCTCTCTCTATATAAATTTTGCTATATTTTTTGCCATGAAATCTGACAACACGTCTGACATTTGTTTATTTCAAGACTTGGGAGCTCGCATATATGACCCCTTTTTGTTGTCTCACTCGTCAGATCTTTACATATTTTAAGCATTTTTTTATTAAGAAGAAGGTGATATACAAGGGATTATCAGAAATGACATGAGCCAAATTTGGGTGCTAATGGCTATCTGATTACTGTCATGAGCCAAATTTTTGAAAAATCAAAAAATAGTTTTTAAAAACTTGTTTTGCCTTTTATAATTTTGGCTAAGAATTCAAACATTTTTTTTTTTTTAAGAAATGTGAAAACCATAGTAAAGAAATTGCAAGGGAACAAACAAAATTTTCAAAAACAGAAATCTAAAATTAAAATTGTTATTAAATGGCCAAGTTTTTAGTAGTTTTGTTCTATAGAGCATTTGAGGACAATAATTTATTATCAATGTTGAGGCCGGCAATAGACCTTAACCTCGTGTCTCATTGTCACTTGATAAAGCAATTTTATGAGACTTCGGATAAAGGGCCAATATGTGCGTAGGTTGCCTCAACTATTTGTGGTAGACCGGTGCTGCATTATGGGCTTTGTTCTTTTTGAATCTTGCTGTATCTAAATGTTTCTTGTGGGAAAGATTTTGCCATGTGCATGGTTAACTACATTACATGATTAATGCTGCGTTTATTTACTTGGCCTTCTAGGACAAAAGCAAATGTGTTACGTTAGTGTGAAGCTATGAGGAATAAGGATGTAGAATATATCCATTAATTTGTATTAATCTTCTAACTTCAACTTAGACTAGATGATATATTATTATACATTGACTTGCATAAACTTCGGCATGTCAATTGGTAGACCTGTTGACATGGGTTAACCCCACATCAATTTCATAACGCAGCTTCAGCACAAGGAACTGATAAGGTGGAACTTTCCTGATAATTTCGCAAGTAACCTTTGCGATCAACAAAGACACACTAATTTTAGGGGTGAACTATGTTGAAGGGATTGATTATTGAACCTGTCACGTTGCTATGTCTAGATGGTATGATATAAACAATTTATTGTGAAAGGCTATGTATGTATGTTATTTTATGCAATTACTCTATGAATTCCTATTATATGTTGAGTTAAAGCTTTCAAATAAATTCATATAATCTAGTACTTAACATGTTGGGGTTTTCCTTTTAACAGGTATAACGCAGTAATTCAAAGTTGGCAGGTTGCATTTAATTGGGAAGAAGGGATTAATTTTCAGGTCCGCGACGTACGGGCTCGTGTCCTAACAGACATGGCTTGGGTTAGCATGAAAACCTATGTCGACATGGATACAGGGCCATTCAATGTGACTAACGTCTATGAGTACCATAACGGTCGATGGTACATGGTGCATCATCACAGCTCAGTGATGCTTATTGTTGGGGATGTGGAAGAACAAATGGTTCATGGGTAACAGAGCAAAGATAGAAGAGAAGAAAACCATGAAAATATAGAATTACTAGGTCAAAGATAGGTGATGTCTGGTAGCAGAAGCAAGATTACTTCTTAACAGCACCACCAGAATCAACTGTTCGAACCTCAGTTTTGCTTGAGCTATGTTGATTGCTGCGCCCTTTTTCTTTCAATGTTCTGGTCCCTAATTCTTTTGTTGGTTCAGAGGTTTCAGGAATGGAATTCAATCCTGGGAATGAGGTATATGATGAGTTTTAGAAGTATTTTTGGTTGGTTTGGTTCATGCTCAAATGGCTGCTGCATGTGTTTAAACCAATGAAGGATCATCCCCATTATCTGTACTTTAATTTCTTGATCGATTGACTGCTACACTTCGACAGGTAGATGACTTGTTCAATAACTTATGTGTAAAGAAGAAAGGATAAGCAACTTTGGATGAGACTCTATTGCAAATGTGTAAGATTTTCTATTCAGAAACGCCCAATGTTAAAGCATGATGGGGGGTAATGCCTGTTGGTTAAATGGGGTTTTGCATCAAATCTACTTTTTTTTTGGTTAAATTAGAAATGCCCCCTATGTTTCGATGAATATTAGAATTTTGACATTATGATTTGATTAAATGTTAATGTCAATGGAATTTTATTTTATGGAAATGTTATAAATACATATTTTATAATTTTATAAAAAAAAATTAAGATACTTAGGAAAATATTGGGTCGTCTCCCAATTGGAGAAGGGCTGTCTCACTTGGCTGCCCACGGGCTTCTTTCGCAACGCAAATTGAAAACAAGGTAGAAATTATAAATTGGAAAATGGAAATTCCCAATCGACTTGGAATTCTGTGAACCTCTAATTCCCCACCGGAGCAAAGAATATCCGTGCCCCCGTTGTCTCGTGTCCACCACGCACAGATGGGCACTGCGCTTCTCTCAGTTCCTGCGCCTCAGCGAGCTCCATTCTTCCACTCCTCCTATGCAACCTCTCCAAGATGGTCTCATGGACCCAGAACTTCACTCAGATTTTCATCATCTAGGGGCGTCAGCTTCCTCTCTTCCTCCTCTTCTTCTGCTTCTGTTGTAGATGAAGAAACAAATTCTTCTCCTCCAGACGACCTCTCTCTTCAGTCTGAATCAGACCCCGATGCTTCTTCGTTCAGGTATTGATGATTTGATCCTTCGTCGCCCTGTTTGCAAGATTCTGATGATAGAACGGTGATTTTGATAACTTTAATTCCATGGTGGTTCTGTGTTCGTTTATTGGATTACATTTATGTTTTCTACTTGAGGGTGAGCGAATTTGAGAGCGACCACGTCATTTATCTACCTTCGAGAACTGTGTTATAAATAGAACACTCTCCTCTTGAAGTTTGGATTGAATTACTCCAAATGATGCTAAAGGATGGAGGAGCTCTAGCATTTGGTAAATAAACGAGGGTGAAAATTCTAGTTGATGAGTATTGCTCTAGTTGATTATCATCCATAAAACTTCCTTTGAATTTTCGGTTTGCCCCTTGACTATCCATATGGATGCTCATGCTCTAGTTGAGAAGTTAAATATGTCCTAAATTTGAAATAGTCACCTTAAGAGGGAAAACATGCGCCAATTTTCCTTGTTTCTCCTAGGAACTAGTTATACAAACAAGATGTGGGAAGAACAAAATAACCTCTAAGCTCCCTCTGCTCATACTCAATCCTATTGGTGTAATCAGCTGAGAACAAGACTTGGTTCAGCATTTAAAATCAGTATCACCCCACCATGACTGAATGTTTCTCTATTTCGCTTGTTCTTGTACATATTATAGGCCATGTATTTCAGTGTGTAAAGGACATGAATTGAATCAGTCCACAATGCAGAGTGAAATCTAGTTGAACGGTTCATTTCAAACCACACCTGGGGTCTCTTGAAACCATCAATTTAGATATATTCAAGTCATTTTCACTTAGAATGTTATGATCTGAATTTTGCCTGCCTTAAGTTATAATAATGATGGTGCCAACGATATGGCTTAGAACAATCTTGTTTTCTCTTTCATTTCTTATCAACAGAGGGTGTAAGGCCTGTGGAAGGGAAGAAATTGAGAGGGGATGCAATGGTGATGGAAGGATACAAGGTGGCATTGCAACAGTCCCAGGTTTTGGTTGGTGGCCTATAAAGGCATACAGGCCTTGTCCTGGATTTGTAGCATCCGGTGGCAGATATAAGCGGCGTGGACAAAGCATGGACGAGGTTACATCTGGAGGAGCAAGGAAAGAAGCCTCTGCTGATGCTGGCAGAAAGGACTCGTCGAGGTACAAGCCAAATATCCCTTTCCTTATGAAGTAAATTCACATGTTTATATACTTTCAGAACTTGTAATGTTGCAATCTAACATTCTGCTCGTGTACTGACTTGCAAAATGACCAAACTGAATGCTTGATACCAATTTTATGAACTTGCTCACACTATAGGGATAAGAATATAGCCGTCAGTTTGGCGAAAATAGCTTCTCCCATTTTTCTTTGGTTGGGAGAAATGAAAGTATTATCTCATTATCAGAGTACTGTAGGAGAGCAAGGGCATCTCGAAATGGCATGGTTGCTTTCATAACTGGTTTCTGGGTTGTCAGTAAAATTCTCTTGTTAGCTTCATTTTGTTCTCATTATTCTTATCTGCCTGATAGTAAGAGAAGGTAGAGCTGTTAGGATTAGGCATCAAAGATTGAAACCATGATGTAATTTCCCTAATGTGACCAAGTTTCTTGTTATCATTGTGGTTTAGGATTTCCCCAGTTGTTTTTCTTGAATTTCCTTCATGTTTTACTTTGAGTTTCTAACTTTTAATGATACCGATTCATTCACTTTTCGGTACGTCGTTTTGTCCAGCAAGAAAAAGTCGGCGAAGGGGTAACATAGGCAAGCTTACCCATCCACAAGTTGATACACAAACAGGGAGGGAATGAAGGATGGATGATGTAGAATTGGTTTCATGGAAATACTAATGTGAAGGGGTGAGAACTGAACAACAAATTCTCACTTCTTTAGGCTTCTGTAACATCAGAATGCTGCATTTAAAGCACAGAAAATTTTCCAATCCATGGTTTGTTTGAAGCATATGAAGATTCATTCTTTGCAGGATATTTTGTTTTCCAGTTCCTAACGGATGCCTTGTTTGTTCTCTCATGCCTGCTTCTCCCAGGAATATTTCACCAAAGCAGTTTGATTTCAACAAATTTGAACTAGAAGTTGGTATGAGCAGGTGATGATACATAGGAGAAGACTTTTCTTCTTCTTCTAGAAACAAAGAATCTGAAAGGAACATTGTAACTACTCTTATTTTTATCAAAATTTCACCATCAAAACATATTTTAAAATACCCATTATTATTTATAAGAAAAAACAAAGCAATTTGAAATGGTCAAGAAATTGGTGGCAGATTTTGAAAGTTATGTAAATTTGACAAACAAATGTTGAAAAAGATGTATCAACAAATCTTAAATTTTGATGCATTCATCCAACCACCCAACCAAATTTTATGGCTTGGAAAAATCAAACTTTGGAAGAAAAAAAAATCTTCATGAAGAAGGCAAGAACCAATACCCACATACTCGAAGATCGATACCGATACCCACATACTCGAACATCGATTCTAACATGACGAAATAATGATTTAATAGACCATTTCTTAAACGTTAAAGATAAAATTGAAACTTTAGGACGAACACAAAGTTCATCTCTTACAAGATCATACAATATCCAGAACTTCAAGCATTTTGTTTTCAACCTCAGAATTGAAGTAATACAAAGACATGTTTATTATTACAGTACTGAGTTCAAACTTTTTTTTTCCAGTTTCAGTAACTAAGTATTGTTTGTGTACTTTTTCATTCACAACTCAACCAGCTAACAAACACCAACCAACACCCTCTATACTAACATTTATAACCTTAGATGACATGATGTTTCTTCTCAACTCCCAAAACTTACGGATGCGTTCTTACGATCGTCGTCGTTGGTAATACTGTTGATTAATTCGAGTAAAGCTTGTCGTATACGTACTCTTTCTGTCGTTCAAGAGAATTTTTCTTCAAATATATCCAGCAGAGAAAGTGCCTGCAAATTTCACAGAATGAGGGTTAGAGTTGTTGAGCATTTCATTGAGCTACAAATCGCGATCGAATCGTCGTGTTCTATTGATGTTCGATCTCGAAGGTGCAATTACCTCTGAAATGTTGAGTTCAAGGCGGAACTTGGGGCCATCATAGTGGTGAAGGATTGGTCTGAAAGAGTCCTCTTCCAGTGGCTCACATATCTTCCTAGTCATAATTCTTACCTGTTTCATTCAAACAGTTTTCTTTTAGCTTAGATCTGTGGAAGTCAGAAACTCAATAAGGTTCCAGACAACAACACAAGAACATTACCTGTGCTGGGAATCGAGATTCGCCCGGAGTTTTCTTGTCTTCCCACGCAGTTGGATCGATGTTTGTCCCTCCAAAACTTGCAGCCTGGAAAGATAGTTCATATAGTTTCAAAATAAGTAAACAAAACAGACATGTATTGATATTCAAATTAAGAGCTCCCAACAAAACAGACATGTATTGATATTCAGATTAAGAGCTCCCGATTGAAGCCATGTATCTAGCAGAATTGAAACTAATTTAAAGGAGACACACCTCAAAGATTCCATGGAGTTGGTGGGTAGAATAGTTGTAAAGGAAAATAGGCAACCCAGGAGTGATGGCCCTCACTGAATCTCTGTATCTTGGAGGCAGACCTAAACATTGATTCAACAAAACAAAGGGGACAGGACACAGATTCATCAAGCTATGCAAAAACAAAGCAGACAGATAATCAAAATTGAAGAAAAGGAGAAGGGAAGCTCACCGAAAAGCTGCCTCTTGAGATTCTCTTGCATTGTATCATTGTTGCAAACAAAGATATATCCACCGACAGTTTCATGTCTTGGCAAAGATTCAGATGGAGGAAGGGTTTTGAATCTCTTGTCCAAAGCATTCTTGTTAGATTCCTTGTTGTTATCATTGGTGTTTTCACCGCTGTTCTTCTTGTTACTGTTCTTCTTCCCAGTTCTTCCTCCATTTTCTTCTTCATACTTCCCACTGTTCTGGTAGTTCTTCAGATTCACAAAACTGTTAGTGTTATAATTCCCAATTTTGGAGTAAACCCCTTTGTTAAACCCTCCGTTAATACCCTTTTGAGCTCCTCCAATCAGAGGATCAACCCCCATATTAGCAGAATTAAGCTTCCACCCATCATTGAAAGAATTGAAATCAGACCCCCCCTTAGGCTTAAAGCTATTCCACCCATTATCAAACATGTTGAGTGCATTCTTTTCAAACCCAGATGAACTCAGATTGCTACTGCCGCTGCTATTGCTCCAATTCATAAGATCAGAAGCAACACTCGGCTTAAAACTATTCCATCCATCCTTCAATCGATTGACATCAGAATCAGACACTTCAGGCTTAAAATTAGTCAACGAATTTACCTCTCCGCCACTTCGAACATCGAAATTCCTCCTCTCCTCATGCCTCTTCGACACAAACGAATTGCTCCAAATAGAATCGTTGAGCGAAAGGTTCGCGAGATTCCCAGTTTGCAGTCGAAGCTGGTCGCTGAACTGCCTAAACGATTGCGGGTTAGTCTCCATTTGCGAATGAAAAACAGCCCCAAACTCAAAGAAGCGAAAAACCCAGACAGAAAATCAGGAATCGAAAGAGAAAGGAGAGAGAAATGAAGAAAAGGGCAGAGAGAAAAGGAGTTAAATAGAATGGGTATTTGGTAAGGCAGAGGAAATTTCGAAGAAGGAAGAGGGGATTGCGTGTGGAAATAAAACATGGGTAAGCATTGATTAAAGAAAAGAAGAAAGGTTAGAGTAGTTGAGCCAATGAGAATGTGACTAATGGAAAGCCGCGTAATCGAGGAGAGAGTGGGGGACACTGAAAAGGATGGAGAGGGAAGGTTTTTTCAAAGCATTCTAGAAAGGGCTGAGATCCCAAATTCCGCCATTCATTTGCTTCGTTGCTAAGCTTTTTGCTTTCTTTAATACAAAACAAATCTTTCAAAAATAGATAGTTCAATACTAAAGATTAGTTGGATGACTCTATTGGTAGTCTCAGCATAGTATAATAATCCTCATTTGTGTGCCAACTACTACGAGATTATGCTATCATATTATGTTGACCCATGTAAATTTAGACAAGTTTTCTATTAGAGGATAGTTAGAAACCTCTTAACAGCCACCACATAGTTACCTGATGACACTACATATCGTATGCATCAAGGGCACGATCCTAAGTCTGCCAACTTCTATAATACAACTCACTATTAGGAGAGTGGCCCTGTGGTTCACTACGAGAGGTTAGTTAAGTAAACCCCTTACGCAATAAGTTGATAGAAGAGACTCATCATAAACCATAAAGAAAAAACAAAGCTTCCAATTACATTATTCATATGGTATTTCTTAATTACTCAAAATTAAGCAATTCAACGTGATTTCAATCCCTTAACATGGTCCTTAAACCAAATTAGGTAATTTAATCACATTTCTATGCTATTCCTTAATATGCAATATCCAGGTCAAAGTATTCCAAATACTGGAATGACTATTTTAACCCAATTATAAGTGAAGCATTTAATTATTATAGGCTTTAATTAATTACTTAAATTTAATTAACAAAAGTCTGGATTGTTTTCAATTTTAATTTGATAACAATAATTTAATACTGGCCATTGACCAATTCAACCATTTTGTACAATAAAACCCTAAAAGGGTACATTTGGAAAAGTATTACGTGGACAGAAAATCGTATCTAAAGTTTTAAAAGATAATGCATTATTGAATCAAGTTTCAAATTTTGACTTTTTTTAATAAATAAATATATTTAACGGCAGCTATATTAAAAAATTAAAATTAAAAAGAAAAAATAAGGCCAAACAATCACAAAACACGGCCTTTCATATCCAAGCTTGAGGCTCGGAATCCAAGCCTCGCGAGGTTTGGGATCCACCCAGCGACCCACAACATGGCCTTTCCTACATTACTCCGGCCCACACGCCTCCTTGCAGCCCAAGCCCATGCAGCGGTGCCTCAGCAATAAGCCCAATAAAAATTGAGTTAAGATCCACTAAGCCCAATACTTCGATCTGTTGTAGTCCAATGAAGCCCAATGGGCCCAGCCTTTCCACGTCGGACTACTCCTCAACTTCGGAGGTGCATAACAAATCAAGAAGTGAATTAAAAAGATTTAAAAATTAATCATAATAGAAACATTGATACAAATAATTAATGATAGATCTAGATCGAACAAAATAATTATTAATAAAAGTATTTAATTTTTTAGAAAAAAAAATTATAAATCATTTTATTTTAATTAAATATTTATTACTGATGTTTAAATTTTAAATTATTGATCTATCCTATTGTTAATTAATCGTCTTTAAGTTGATAAGTTATTTAAAATTATTTTTATAAAGTCAATATACAAAAAAAATATATTCAATTTTACCTATTTCTATTTATCTATCTAATATAGTGAATCACATCTTTGAAAATACCCGTTTTTATATATTTTTTAAAAATATTAATTTTTACAAATATTATTCAGTTATCCATTTATTACCTTTTCATAAGCTAATATTACCACTTTAAATTACATGAGACCCATGACATGGCATGCTACCTTTTGTCTCCTACAAAAACATATACTTCATTAAATTAATTAAGCCTTTGTCCCCCAAAAGTAATTAAAAAAAAAAAAGAAAAAAAAAAGGTTTAGTTCGTTCAACCTACCTCTCCCTCTTTTGGCGAAGAGGTTCAATGCATGAATTTCAAAATAAAATAATAAAATAATAAATTAATTAGCCCATTTTTAAATCAACAATTAGCATGTCAAAAGGTCGATGATTTAATATCTATCTCAACATTTGCACTCTTCATTCATCTGGTTGACGTAAATTGTGAAGGCAAACGATTACTAATTTATAGTTTTTATTTATTTTATCTTTTAGAAGAAGAACGAGCCTAAGAACGAATATTTTTCACGTGGAAATATATATATATATATATATATATATATATATATATAAACTGAGAAATAAAAATGGTC